CTCCACCCTCCTCCCTCCACCCTCCTCCCTCCACCCTCCTCCCTCCACCCTCCACCCTCCACCCTCCATCCTCCAACCTCCACACTCCACCCTCCACTCTCCTCCCTCCACCCTCCACCCTCCACCCTCCACACTCCACCCTCCACCCTCCTCCCTCCACCCTCCTCCCTCCACCCTCCACCCTCCACCCTCCATCCTCCACCCTCCTCTCTCCGCCCTCCTCCCTCATTCCTCCTCCCTCCACCCTCCACCCTCAACCTCCACCCTCCACCCTAAACCTCCGCTGTCCTCCCTCCACCCTCCTCCTTCCACCGTCCTCCCTCCCTTCTCCACCCTCCACCCTCCACTCTCCTCCCTCCAACCTCCACTCCACCCTCCACCCTCGACCCTCCCCTCTCCTCCCTCCACCCTCCACCCTCCACCCTCCACCCTCAACCCTCCTCCCTCCACCCTCCATAATCCATCCTCCTCCCTCCATACTCCTCCCTCCACCCTCCACCCTCCACCCTCCACCCTCCACCCTCCTCCCTCCACTCTCCTCCCTCCGCCCTCCACTCCACACTCCACCCTCCACCCTCCCCTCTCCTCCCTCCACCCTCCACCCTCCACCCTCCACCCTCAACCCTCCTCCCTCCACCCTCCACAATCCACTCTCCTCCCTCCGTACTCCTCCCTCCACCCTCCACCCTCCACCCTCCTCCCTCCACCCTCCACTCTCCTCCCTCCACCCTCCACTCCACCCTCCACCCTCCACCCTCCCCTCTCCTCCCTCCACCTTCCGCCCTCCACCCTCAACCCTCCTCCCTCCACCCTCCACAATCCACCCTTTTCCCTCCATACTCCTCCCTCCGCCCTCCACCCTCCACCCTCCGCCCTTCCCCTCCACCCTCCACTCTCCTCCCTCCACCCTCCACTCCACCCTCCACCCTCCACCCTCCCCTCTCCTCCCTCCACACTCCACCCTCCATCCTCCAACCTCCACCCTCAACCCTCCTCCCTCCAACCTCCACAATCCACCCTCCTCCCTCCATACTCCTCCCTCCACCCTCACCCCTCCACCCTCCACCCTCCTCGCCATTCCTTCTCCCCTATCCATCCTCAGGGCAAATGGGTGCAGGCAGAGAGGCAGCACGGCAGAGCGGTACAGAGGCATGGCAGTAAATATCAGCGGCACCTCATTTTAAATTTGCTTTATTTTCTCCTTCTCTTTGCTTCGAGGAAACGTCTGTTGAGCCCCACCAATGTCTTTCCTCCTCCCCCTTTTTTTTTACCATCGCCCCCGTGCTGTTGCCTCTGGCTGGCCTGCTGTCTTTGCATTCTGGCTTGCTCTCAATTTCTCCACGCCTCTGCAAGGCCTCACCCAACATTGTACCTTCACTCTGGGTTATTCTCTCACTCTTATATTCTGCTTGCAGGGAAGCACTCAAGGAGCACCACCACCAGTTTGTGGCGACTTACAGAGTGGGGCGCTCCGTGTGCGGCGGTATGCACAAGCCAGCAGCCAACCAATCGCACACCACTGCAACTGACGGTGTGTGGATGATGGAGACGAGCCGCATGGGACGCTGCTGCTTGCTGCTGCCGCCCGGGAGGATTTCTGCTGCCCTGCCATCCTTCACCCTCCAACCTCCACCCTCCAACCTCCACCCTCCACCCTCCACCCTCCAAACTCCACCCTCCACCCTCCAAACTCCACCCTCCACCCTCCACCCTCCACCCTCCAAACTCCACCCTCCACCCTCCACCCTCCAAACTCCACCCTCCACCCTCCACCCTCCAAACTTCACCCTCCACCCTCCACCCTCCACCGTCCACCCTCCTCCCTCCACCCTCCTCCCTCCACCCTCCACCCTCCACTCTCCTCCCTCCACACTCCACCCTCCACCCTCCACCCTCCACACTCCACCCTCCACCCTCCTCCCTCCACCCTCCTCCCTCCACCCTCCACTCTCCACCCTGCACCCTCCACTGTCCTCCCTCCACTCTCCTACCTCCACCCTCCACCCTCCAAACTCTACCCTCCACCCTCCACCCTCCACCCTCCTCCCTCCACCCTCCAAACTCCACCCTCCACCCTCCACCCTCCACCCTCCTTCCTCCACCCTCTCCCTCCACCCTCCACCCTCCACCCTCCTCCCTCCACCCTCCTCCCTCATCCCTCCTCCCTCCACCCTCCTCCCTCAACCTCCACCCTCCACCCTCCACTGTCCTCCCTCCACCCTCCTCCCTCCAAACTCAACCATCCACCCTCCACCCTCCACCCTCCACCCTCCTCCCTCCACCCTCCTCCCTCCACCCTCCATCCTCTACCCTCCTCCCTCCACCCTCCTCCCTCATCCCTCCTCCCTCCACCCTCCACCCTCAACCTCCACCCTCCACCCTCCACTGTCCTCCCTCCACCTTCCTCCCTCCAAACTCAACCATCCACCCTCCACCCTCCACCCTCCTCCCTCCACCTTCCTCCCTCCACCCTCCATCCTCTACCCTCCTCCCTCCACCCTCCTCCCTCATCCCTCCTCCCTCCACCCTCCACCCTCACCCTCCTCCCTCCATCCACCACCCTCCACCCTCCACCCTCCTCCCTCCACCCTCCACCCTCCACACTCCACCCTCCACCCTCCTCCCTCCACTCTCCTCCTCCACCCTCCACCCTCCATCCTCCACCCTCCTCCCTCCACCCTCCACTCTCAACCTCCACCCTCCACCCCGACTGTCATCCCTCCTCCCTCCTCCCTCCACCCCCCTCCCTCCTTTCTCCACCCTCCACTCTCCTCCCTCCACCCTCCACTCCACCCTCCACCCTCCACTACACCCTCCACCCTCCACCCTCCATCCTCCCCTCTCCTCCCTCCACCCTCCACCCTCCACCCTCCACCCTCAACCTCCTCCCTCCACCCTCCACAATCCACCCTCCTCCCTCCATACTCCTCCCTCAACCTCCACCCTCCACGCTCCACTGTCCTCCCTCCACCCTCCTCCCTCCACCCTCTTCCCTCCATCCTCCTCCCTCCACCCTCCACTCTCCTCCCTCCACCCTCCAGCCTCCACCCTCCACACTCCACCCTCCACCCGCCTCCCTCCACCCTCATCCATCCACCCTCCACCCTCCAGCCTCCACCCTCCATCCTCCACCCTCCTCCCACCACTCTCCTCCCTCATCCCTCCACCCTCCACACTCCACCCTCCTCCCTCCACCCTCCTCCCTCAACCTCCACCCTCCACCCTCCACTGTACTCCCTCCACCCTCCTCCCTCCACCCTCCTCCCTCCTTTCTCCACCCTCCACCCTCCACCCTCCACCCTCCTCCCTCCACCCTCCATTCTTCTCCCTCCACCCTCCACTCCACCCTCCACCCTCCACCCTCCACCCTCCCCTCTCCGCCCTGCACCCTTACAACCGCCCTCACAACCCCCCAGAGCAGCGGCGCCTCTCCCTCACAACCCCCCAGAGCAGCGGCGCCTCACCCTCACAACCCCTCAGAGCAGCGGCGCCTCTCCCTCACAGCCCCCCAGAGCAGCGGCGCCTCTCCCTCACAGCCCCCCAGAGCAGCGGCGCCTCTCCCTCACAAACCCCCAGAGCAGCGGCGCCTCTCCCTCACGACCCCCCAGAGCAGCGGCGCCTCGCCCTCACAACCCCCCAGAGCAGCGGCACCTCGCCCTCACAACCCCCCAGAGCAGCGGCGCCTCCTCCTCACAGCCCCCCAGAGCAGCGGCGCCTCTCCCTCACGACCCCCCAGAGCAGCGGCGCCTCTCCCTCACAACCCCCCAGAGCAGCGGCGCCTCTCCCTCACAACCCCCTAGAGCAGCGGCGCCTCTCCCTCACAACCCCTCAGAGCAGCGGCGCCTCTCCTCACAGCCCCCCAGAGCAGCGGCGCCTCTCCTTCACAGCCCCCCTGAGCAGCGGCGCCTCTCCCTCACAGCCTCCCAGAGCAGCGGCGCCTCTCCCTCACAGCCCCCCAGAGCAGCGGCGCCTCTCCCTCACAGCCCCCCAGAGCAGCGGCGCCTCTCCCTCACAACCCCCCAGAGCAGCGGCGCCTCTCCCTCTCCCTCGCGTGCACAAGACAGCGTCCAATCAATCGCACGCCACGTTCATCTGATGGCGACGATCTGCGTGGGACGCTGCTACTTGCTGCTGCCGCCCTGAAGGATTGCGACTCACTCTCTGCGTCCACGCTTCTCCTGTAGGAAGTCTCCCCTCCGCAACCCGTCCTTCCTTTTTCCTTTGCTATCCCCATCTGTCTGTTTCACGTGCATTCGTTTCTTGGCGCATGGTGGTGGTGGTCCATGGTGCTATGGCAGCAGAGTTCGTGTAGAGTGCAGTACATTGGGAATGGTGGGAGAGATTCGTTGGAGAGGGAGTGCATTCATGCCATGCGCGCGTCCCTCTCTACCCCAGGGCCCCCTCGCTGGCTCAGCTCGCTGATCTGGTGCCGTGGGCCATGCGCTTTCCCCGTTCCCCCCTCCCACCACAATTCAACCACTCCATTTTCGCTGTGCCCCACCCAGCTGCGTTCTCCCCCCACCCAGCCGCGTTTCCCCCCCACCCGGCTGCGTTTCCCCCCCACCCGGCTGCGTTTCCCCCCCACCCGGCTGCGTTCCCCCCCCACCCGGCTGCGTTCCCCCCCCACCCTGCTGCGTTCCCCCCCCACCTGGCTGCGTCCCCCCCCCACCTGGCTGCGTTCCCCCCCCTCCCCACAGCTGCGTTCATCCCCCACCCCCACCCAGCTGCAACAGTACTACCAAGACATGCGTATGATGGTACCCTGCTGTATTTGTTTGATCTGAGAAAGCTTTGTTTGATTCGAGAAAGCTAACTTCTCGTTCACATTTCCCCCCCCTTTCTCATTTTACTGATATTTTAAAGCAGCACAGCTGCTTGTGCTCTAGAAACACCTTCAAATGAAACATCCAACTTAGGCACTACTGAAACACAATCCGAACCACAAGCCACAACAGCACAAGCCCAACACCCGCCTTCAACCACACGGCCTCCCCCCAGCATCATCTCCCCTTGCCTCCCTTGCCCCCCTTTCCCTTGCGTCGCCCTGCCGGCCCCTTGGCCCCCGCCTTGCGCCCCTCTGTGCTGCCGCTGCTGCCAGCACTGGCGGCAGCACTGGTGGGTTCAGAGGCAGAGGAGGGGGTGGGCGCATGCGCATGGGGCTCTGGCGTTGCTGGTGCCTTGGGCTGCTGCTCTGTGTGCGCGTGGTCATGTGCATTCGTGTGGTCATGGGCATGTGCATGGTCATCAGTGTGGGTGTGTGCATGGCCATGACCATGGTCATGGGAGTGGGAGTGGCCACTGCAACAGCCATCATCTTTATGACTATGTGCATGTGCGTCCCCATGACTGTGCTTGTGTCCATGTGAATGCCCATGGCTATGACCATGCCCATGCGAGTGACCATGCCCGTGACCATGGGAATGACCATGCCCATGCGAATGACTATGCCCATGCCCATGCCCGTGCCCGTGCCCATGGTCATGCCCACAGCATCCCCGCTGCATGCCAGCAGCCAGCCCGCCCGCCCCAGCACCCATCGCAGCCGCCACAGCCGCCTCCTCCTCCTCCTCCTCCACCGAATCGCCAGCCGACGGCAGCAGCAGCTTCAGCCTGAACGCATCTGAGCCGTTCAGATAGTACCGGTGCAGCAGCTTAGCGCGTATGAACCCTAGATTCCCGTACAGCGCCAGTGCGCCCTCATTGGTCACCTCCGCTTCAAGCACCACCTCCGCGCATCCCGCGTCGCGCATCGCCTCGATGCACCGCGACACGAGGCTCGTCGCGATGCGTCGCCCGCGGAACTCCTTGGCGACGACGAGCATCGCGATGTACCCGCGCGGCACGGCGCGCTCCGCCTCCATCTTGCACACCACCGCGCCCACGCACCGCCCTTCCGCCTCGCCCTCCGCCGCCTCAGCCCCGTCCTGGCTGGCGGAGTGCGGGGCGCGCGCGAGGAAGGTGAGGTGCGGCCAGTGGTGGAGGAAGTAGCGGTAGGTGAAGACGGAGTAGGGCTCCGACAGCTCGCACTGCACCAGCCGCATCACCGCCGCCAGATCCGCCTCCTCCGATCGGTACGCGTCGTACACGATCGCGCCCTCGCCCGCGCCGCCCTTCATAGCGTCGTCAACCCCGCCGCCCGCGTCGGCGCTTTCAGCGCAGTGCGGATCGGCGGCGGCGACAGCGGTAGCCATGATTTGATCTGACTCGACGACCCGCGTCGATTCTATTTGCGCAACGATTCAACGCGATCTTCGCTATAACCGCCGCATGTCAACCTAGATATGATACGAGCTGAGGGGAAGCGGGAAAACTCAATGATTCGACGCGATCTTCGCTACAACAGCTTGATTTGTCCGTCCTGATCTTGGTTATCCCATTACATATTCCCGAAAGCCAGCTACTTTTGTTGCGAACAATTATTAAATGGGCGAACCTCGCCAGGCCGTTGGTAACAGGCGAACCCAACAAAGCCAGAACCAGCAACCGCCAATCAGCAGCTTTCCCGCTCGTGGTCTGACCTCGAGCCTTGCTCACTTTTCAACTGACAAGCAACATTGGGAACTGCTGCGCCCAGGTCATCCCAGCCGCCAGTCACCTCAGGATCTCCAATAGTTCCTTGCAGCACAGCTATGGCTGCTCTTTCTTGGTGAGTGGATTGCTCTTGCAGTGCATCAATGGCCATTCTAACAGTTAGACAGTTTTTTTTGCCAGTGCTAAATATACTCTTTCTCGCCATCTCTCTTAGACAATCTATCGTCGAGCGCGAGCCTGTTAGCACAAATATCTCGCTTTCATAGAGCCCATATAGCTGTCGCAGTCTATCCGGCAGGCATTAGATGCACGACGGAGCGCTTCCTGGTTGAGGGACTCGCCAGCTCGTCCACGCATGGTAGATGGAGGCGTCAGAGCGACGCCCCCTCGTGGCGTCAGAGCGACGCCCCCTCGTGGCTCGCGCAGTCAGGTCCAGCGACCACACGAGCGCAGATTCATCGTCGCACCGCTCTTCGCAGCGCTCTTCGCACAGCCATCGCAGTCACGACCTCCATCCGTTGACGAGCATCGTCGTATTCTGCGGCTATGGCGTCGCACTCCTCCTCGCATTCAACGTCATGCGATTGGGGCCTGCGTTGCCCTCGTCGCATCCCGTCGCAGCGTGCGACGCCTCGCGTGGTGACACGTGCGACTGGGCGACCCACGCGACCCACCAGCTGCTGCACCGCCCGTGGAGCCCTCCCGTGGCGGCGCTGGCCGTGCTGGGGTTCGCGCTGCTCTTGCTCCGCGCGCTTTCTGGGCAGGCGGCGCGAGTGCGCGCTCTGGAGATGCGTTTGCGAGGGGCGAAGGGGGAACAGGCGGTTGAACAGGAGCGGGTGAGCAAGGGGGAAGAGGAGGAGAATATGGTGGAGAAGAAAGGGTGGATAGGAAAAGAGATTGACGGAGGGGAGGAGGAGAGTGCGAGAGCGAGAGGTGCGGATGCAGGCACGGCGGTTGGCGCATTGGTCTCACGCGATGGGGACATGGCTACGCGAGCTGCTGTCGACCTGCTGGTCCACGGGATAGCCGCGCCCATGAGAGGTGCGCTGCGCTCCCCCTCCCGCTTCCCACCCGCCCCATTACTGTCAGTTCCGCTTCTCGTGTGCTTACCCCCCTCGTTACACACTTTCAAGCTCATTCGCCCGTCTTGCGTGTGCGCGTGACCCTCCACGCGCCTCCGCGCTCCCCCCACAGGCGCGCTGGGCATGCTGCGCCTGCTGGCGGCGACCGTGCGCGACCCCATGTACCTCGACCTCATCCACTCGCTCCACGCCTTCGCCGCGCACCTCACCCGCCTCGCCGCCGCCGCCAGCGCCACGTGGCGCGCGCAGGCCGGCCCGCTGCCCGTGGTGACGTCAGCGGTGGACGTGCGGGGGGTGGCGGACGAGGTGGTGGCGGCGGTGGGCGGGGAGGCGCGCGAGAAGGGGTTGGAGCTGGCGTGCCTCGTCATGGACGACGTGCCCCCGCTGCTGCTCTCCGACTCCCTCCTCCTCAAACAGGTCCCCGCTGCTCCCCCTCCCCTGCTCTCCACTCCCCGCTCCCTGCCCCCTGCTCCCCGCTCCTTGCCCCCTGATCCTGCCCTGCCCATCCCCCCTGCTCCTCTCTCCTGCCATGCCCATTCCTGCAAAGACCATCACCGCTGCTTCTCTCCTGCCCCGTCTGTCCCTCCTTCACGGCCTTCCTGCCTCTCTCCCACCCTCCCTTTCTCCCCCTCAGCTGCTGCTGTGCGTGGCGGCGGCAGCAGTGCAGCGCACGGAGCAGGGCCACGTGCTGCTCTGCGTGCGCCTGCTGCACCCCCAAGAGGCCCTCCACCGCCAGCAGCAGCAGCAGAAGAGGGGCGCGCATGAGAAGCACCAAGTGGTGGCAGCGATTGAGAATGCGGGCGTGCAACCGAGGCACGGCGAGGACAACAGCCTGCTCCTGCCGCCCTCACGCATGCCCCTCCCACCGCCCACCCACCACCACCCTCTCTCCCCGCCCCCCACCACAGCATCCGCTTCTGCCTCCGCGGCCCCTTTCCCCTCCGTGTTCTCCGCGCCCTCCTCCCCTTCCTCCCTCTTCTCCAGCCCGGACCTCCTCGGGCTGGGCGGCATCGCTCGTCGTCTAGCAGCCTATGCTGCTCCGTGGAGCGAGCAGGGGGGGCAGGAACAGGCTGACAGCGGGGCGGGTGTGTTTGCATCGCTCTCCGCTGATGCGTGGCTGCAGCAGGGGGGAATGGCGCACAGCGATGCCTATGAGCACCGCCAGCAGCAGCGGCAGACGCATCAACAGCAGAATCGCCAGCAAAGGCAGGAGCAGCAGCGCTTCCAGCAGCAGCAACAGCAGAATGAGCAGGAACAGGTGCAGAGGGACGGGGGAAAGGACAGTTTGAGTGGGAGGCGGGTGGTGGACGGGCGGTGCAGCTGGGGCGCGCTGAGGCGGCTGCTGGACGACCAGGAGAGCCGATTCGCTGCTGCCGTCGCACACGCTGTTGCTACTGGCAGTGCCGGTGCTGCTGCTGGCGGTGGCGGTGGCGGTGCGGTGGCGGTGGCGGTGGCGGTGGCAGCAGCAGTGGGATGGGGCAGGTGTGGGTGGAGGTGGTGGTGGAGGACACGGGCACGGGCGTGCCGCAACCCGTGGTGGACGCACTCAACGCCATGGACCATGCTGATACTGCTGCCTCGGCTGCTCTGCCACAGGAGCTGCTGCCACTGCATGCCACCACGCCCCTGCTGCTCGCCCACGCACACCTGTGAGTGCTGCTCGCCCACGCACACCTGTGAGTGCTGCTCGCCCACGCACACCTGTGAGTGCTGCTGGCCCACGCACACCTGTGAGTGCTGCTGGCCCACGCACACCTGTGAGTGCTGCTGGCCCACGCACACCTGTGAGTGCTGCTGGCCCACGCACACCTGTGAGTGCTGCTGGCCCACACACACCTGTGAGTGCTGCTGGCCTGGCAATGAAAGGCTGGGCAGAGGGCAGTTGTCTTTTTTCGCCCCTTGCTTCATCTAGCCCTGCCTTCGCCTCGCCCCACCCACCTTTCCTCACCTTCCCGTCTCCCATACATGCCTGGCAGCCTGGCGACCTCTCTGGGCGGCTCCCTCTCACTCACCACAGCACCCGCCATCGGCACCACCATCGCTCTCTCCATCCCCATGGCCCTTCCCCCTCTCGCCCCCACTCCCTCCTCCTCCCCCGCCCTCCTCCCCTCCGCGCCATCACCTCCCCCTCCCCATGCGCCTCTTCCCCCTGCCTTCCGCCCCGCCTCTGCGCCCTCCTTCCCCCGTGCGGGGGGGAGCAGCGGCAGCGAGGGGGGGTTGGCGGCGCTGGTGGGGTTGTGGGAGAGCGTGGGGGCGGACGGCGGGCTGTGGGAGGCCATGGGACTGGGGGGAGGCGCGGGGCAGGGCGGGGGGGCAAGGGATTCCGGTGCTGCTGCAGCAGGGGAAGGTGCAGAGGAAGGGGGCGCAAGGGGGGGCGCACGTGAGGGGAATGGGGGGGGAGCTGGTGGTGAGGGCGGGGGCAGGGGGGCGTGGATGGGGGAGGTGGGGGTGAGGGAGGTGGGGGCGGCGGAGAGGAGGGCGGTGAGGGAGATGGGGGCGGTGGGGGGGGTGGGGGGCGAGCAGTGGGAGGTGGTGGCGCCGCTGGTGGAGCAGGTGCAGGGCGGGCGGTGCCTTGTGGTGGACAGCAACCCCATCCGCCAACAGGCAAGCCCGCCCGCCTTGCTGCTCCCATACCCCCCTCTGCTGCCTGCTGCGTGGTGTCACTGATTCTCCTGCTCACACACCACGTCTTACCCACTCTGTTCCGCCTCCTTCCCCCCAATCCCTGCTCTCCCTCCGTCCCCCCCGCCTGTCAGGTGGCAGCATCACTGCTGTCGCGACTGGGCATGGACGTGGATCTCTCAGACAGTGTGGCGGACGCCGTTGCTGCCCTGCAGTGCGCCCCACCCGCCCTGCACCCCGGTCAGCTGCCTCCCGTGCCCCTCTCACCTGCCCCACTTCTCTCCTGTCCCTTCCCACCGTCGCGCTCCTGCTACGGTCTTTTCTGCAGGGGACATGGACTGTGGGCAGGCAGCAGGGGCAGCAGCAGCGGCGGCAGGGGCAGGGGCAGAGACGGTGGGCAGAGGAGGGTTCACGTCATTGGCAGATGATGGCGTGGGTGGGGAGGACGAGGGGGATAGTGGGGCGAAAGAGGGGTGTGGTGGGGGGCAGGACATGGGGGCAGGGCAGGCAGAGCAGAGGGCATGGGGTGAGTGCAGAGAGGGCGAGCGTGGGGAGGGGGTGGTGGAAGGGCGTGTGGGGAGGAAGGAGCCGGGTGAGGGGGAGCAGTCACAGGCGCACGCACAGGCACAACAGCAACAGCAGCAGCAGCAGCAGCAGCAGCAGCAGCAGCAGCAGCAGCAGCAGCAGCAGCAGCGGGCAGAGGCAGAGGCAGAGGGAGAGCAGCAGTGGGAGGAGAGTGCAGAGTCGCTAGTGTTGCCTGGCATCTCATCCAAGCTCGTGCTCGTGGCTCAGGTCAGTGGCACTCACATGGGGCAGGGGGGGCACACGCAGGGACCCAGAGGCATGAAGGGTGAGGCACAGGGGTGGCGTTGGTGGGAGGTGCAGCAGTGCAGTGCCATGCCGTTGTGCTTGTTCGTGCTCACATGCATGCATCGTTTGCTGTGTGCGTGCATGTGTGTGTGTGTGCGCGCGCGCGCGTGTGCATGCGTGCATGTGTGTGTATGTGTGTGTGTGTGTGTGTGTGTGTGTGTGTGTGTGTGTGTGTGTGTGTGTGTGTGTGTGTGTGTGCACCGAGGCCGTGCAGGCAACGAGTGAGGACATGGCATTGGCAGCAGCATCGCATGGCTTCTCCTGCATCGCCCTCAAGCCCCTTCAAACACCAGTGCTCGCTACAGCCATGCTGCAGGTGTGTGTGTTTAGTTGGCTAAAAAACTTTTTAAAGCCTGTTGCAGCAGTGCTGTCGTATGGTAGTTGTCAATCTTCCAACAATTCCGACTCATCGCCTTTCCACTCTTCCTCTCCTCGCTTCCTGCACATGCCCGTCTCCCCACCCCGCCAGGCCCTGGGTGTGAGTGCGAGGGAGGTGCAGCAGGCAGCAGCGCAGCAGCAGCAGTTGCACCTCAGACGACTTCTGCGAGGCAAAGTGGTGCTGGTGGGTGCAGAGTGGTGCTGGTGTGTGGGTGGTTAGCGGACAGGAATGAGGGTTCAACATGGGGCTGCAGGGCAAATCGTTCCCGTGGCCCACAAACAGGGCAGCGTACACAACATTTCCATGTGCCAAAAGCCTTTAGTAAGTCCAGCTATCCGCCCACCATTCCCTCCTCTTCTCCCCCACTCCCCCGTGCCAGGTGGTTGACCCGTGCTTCACCACGCGCAAGGCAGCAGCAGTGGCCATCTCCCAGTTCGCCGATGCAGCCTGTGCCGTGGCCTCACCAGCAGAGGCCCTCGCACGCCTCTCCCCGCCCCACCACTTCCACCTCGTGCTGCTCTCCCTCTCCCTCCCCGACCTCCCCCCGTACGTTCCATGACCTCCCGGCACTGCTTCTTGTCACCTCTTTCCCCATACTTGATTAGTGCAGCATTTCCAGTCTCTGGCACAACGTTGCTTGCATTGTTGTTACTTGGAAAGGTACAGTTTTCTTATGTGCATCTGATCCATGTGTGTGTGCGTGCTGGGCAACATCAGAGCACTATTTGTGCAGCGCTTGCGGGAAATGGAGGCTGCAGCACCTGGGGATGCTGCGGGGGGAAGCGGAGAAGGCAGGGGAGTTTTGAGAGAGGCTGCGGAAATGCCTAGAAGCGCCAGTGGCGGCAGTGCTGCAGCTGGTGTTCCTGTAGAGGACGCATGCGGCAGCAATGCCTGTCTGACTCCAGTGCCTGTGCTGGGAATGGTTACAGATTTCCTCTCCAACGACATGCCTCCACGGTATGCAGCATTCTTGCCTTTTACTCTTTTCAGCTTCTTGCACTGCCTTGCTCTGGTCTGTATAACCCGCATAGCAGAACAGATTCTCTGACACTAGTGCCTTGAAATGAATTGTGCCTTCCCCCATTTGAATCACCAGGTTGAGCGATTGCCGTGTAGACGGTCTCCTGGCGACACCCATTTGTGAATCTCAGTTACTCTCAACTCTTAGAACGCTTGTTGCATGTGGAAAATTTATATGAACAGCATATTATGAATGCAAGTAACGTGTACATTTTGCTGAACCAGGCCGCAAAGCGGGGCAGGGGGAGAACACCATTCCTCTATCCGAGGGTGTGGCTGATGCGTGCGATGGACTCGAATCTCCACAGACAAAGGGCTTACCCACCAGCTCAGCAGCGGGCAGCCCAATGAATCATCAAAGCAGTCAAACGGGTGTATTTAGGCGAATTTCGAGCCTAGATGTTGCTTTTCTGTATCTCCAGCCAATCACAGCTCATGGCGCGTTCTCGCACGGATGTTGACGATAAGTCGCTTGTGGAAGCGACCAACCCTAGTGTTCGCCAATGGCCCTAGACTTGCGTGTGGGATGAACAATTTGTTTCGCCAGACGTCGCACTGCAGCTTGCCGTTGCCACTCCTCCGTCAACTGGCAACCTCAACACCACATCGCCTACTAGTCCATGCTCTTTAGCAGCTAACGCATTAGTGGGTGGGAGCACTAAGCACCTATCCGTGGGGATGCGAGAATGGCTTTAGTCGCATCGAGTGTACGGGCCGCCGCCATAGACGCGTGTATATCGTCTTCCAGCGCGTTGATTAACGCGTCCCCGTTGTATGGACCAGTCGTCTCCCTCTCAGCTTCCTTAATTCGCTTAGCCTCGTCGCGTCTCTCACCAGGCAGCCATTCCTCTCCCTTCCGTTCCCCGCACGTTTCCGCCGCGTCGTCGTTCTCCTCCTCCTTTTCCGGTAGGAAGCTCGTCGCGCCATGCATACCACGGCCGGCGGTAGCCCGCGATCAGCGGCGGTTGGCAGTAGTCTCGGCAATTGGGAGCGCGGAGAGCGGAGGCGCGGATGCGTTGGGGATGGCGGGCGAGGCGTACGGACAGATGGCCGAGGCGCTGCTTAACGGGTGAGCGCCGCACACGGCTGATAGGTTGCTCGGGAGCCCTAGTGTGCGACAAGACTGTGCGGCTGAAGTGTGGCGACTAGACTGTGCGACTGTAGTCTGCGACGTGGATGGTCGTGCTGAAACGAGTTATAGTGGGTGCCAGAAGGGAGTTGGGATCGGAGGAAAGACAGCAGGATTAAGCGGAAGCGTCGCAGAGCGCTAAGCGTGACGCGAGGCGTACGGATAAAGTTAGTGTGAGCGCGCATTGTCGCATGGAAGCTGGAATCGCAGCCCGAAGAGCGACCACGTGGGAAGGCGAGCAGGCTCAAATGCTCTGGTGGATTGACTTCATCTTTCGTTCTAGGCAGCGGTGTCTACGTGTCTGCTTAACACGTGCGCTGTACTGTGTCGCATGTCTCGCACGGTCGTGCTGCGTCGCATGTTACTCGCAGGCAACCGGGTTAGCCAATTTCGTTTATACGCGCTCGTGACTCGCTGACTATACGCGCTGTCATGCCGCCCGGTCCATATCACTCCACGTCGTTCCACCGGGGCTCACATACTTCCACGTCATCCCGCCGGCTTTCACATATTTCCATTTCAATTTGATTATCCCTGCGGCGCCATGGCAGATTGCCGCCCGAAGTGGAGCAGGCGGTGGTGGCGGTGCATCGCGAGATCGCGCAACTCGCGGCGGACGCCGGCCTCTCCATTCCGCTCGACGACCCGGTCAGTCGCTCCCGCCGCTCCGCCCACCCGCCATGCCGCCGCGCACCCGACGCGTGCATGCTTTCTCTCCACCGCCTCTGCTCTTCCTTCTCTTCCCCGTCAGCTCCGCGCATCAGTTCCGCGGTCCCCCTCTTCTGATGCCTTTCCGCCGCCTCCGTCCCTTCCTCCCCGTCCAACCCCTTCCCTTCTTCTTCCTTCCCGGACCACCACCCATCCTATCCCCGTCTCCCCCCGCCCTCCCCTTCCCCCCTCCCCGCGCGTCACCCGCGCAGGCGTCGTTGCGCCAGTGGACGGTGGCGCTGGTGCTGCTCGTGCTGTACGCCGCCGCGCCCCCCGCGCCGCTCATGGGGCTGCTCGACTTCCTCGTCGCGCCCCAGCACGCGCGCACCGACAAGTAACGCGCCCGCCTCGCGCCCGCACTCCCGTCCGCACTCCTGCCCGCACTCCGTTCTGCTGCCGTCAGATCGCATTGCTGCCCATGTTCCGCCAGAGTGCCTGCTAGGCCCGTGCGCGTCGGCCCTGCTGCTGCCCGTAACCTTCACCCTTGCTCCGCTTCGGCCCCTCTTTCCCGCTCCCCCTTCTATTCCCCTCCCCCTTCTATCCCCCTTTCCCTGCGCCCTGCTCCTTGTTCCTGGCGGCAGGGAGCTGGATCCGGCGCGGGTGAAGGTGGGGCGACAGATAGGCGAGGGCAGCTTTGGCGTGGTGTACGAGGGTTTCATTTCCAACGGTACGCGCGCCGCCCCTTTCTTCCTTTATCTCCCTCCCTCTCTCTCCTTCTGTGCGCGTGTGTCTCTGTCTCCTCTCCCGCACATCAAGCCACGCCCATGTCCATCCCCTCACCACCGTCCCCGCTCTCCTGTGCTCCGCTGCCCCGTGTGCATGTGCGAGCAGGCAAGGCGGGCAAGGAGGGGCGGTGGGAGCGGAGGGTGGTGTTGAAGCGAGTGAAGACGCGAGTGAAGCACTCTGATGAGATGAGAGACGTCGAACTCTACATGAACCACCGCCTGCAGGTGCGCACAAGCATCCCCTTTTGTGTGTCGCTTTTGAGATTTCCCAAAAGTAGCTCCCGGTGCTTGGTGTTTCGTCCCCCCCCCCCCCCCCGCTCATCCTACCCGTGACCCACTTTTCGATCCCTCCCTCCCGTTCCTTCCCCTCCCCCCTACAGCGCACGGCGCCGGGCGTGTGTGCGCGGTTCATAGGCACCATGCAGGTGGCGCCGGAGCAGGCCAGCGGCAAGCTCGAGGAGGTGAGCGCAGCGCTGGGGCTGGGGTGGAGGCGGGCTGGGGGCGGGCTGGGGCTGCCGTGGGGCTGGGTTGGGGCTCGGGGCGGGCCCAGGGAGGTATTGAGACGTGTGCATGCGGGAGTGGTGATGTGCGGGGTGGCAGCACGTGGGAGGCGGCACGTGAGTGTGTTGGGTTGGGACCAGTTTTCACCTCAATGCCCCAACTGCCCATGCCTCGCACCCTGCCCTCCCCACACACGCCCCCTCACCATCCCTTCCACCCCAACTCCCACTCCTTCCTCTACCTCGCCCCGCGCATTTGCAACTGCAGTGTGTACTGGTAGTTCGCTGTACTAGTAAACTCACCCCCCCTGCCATTCACCCTACCCCTTCCCCGCCCTGCTACCATCGCTGCTCTCCCTCCGGGTGCCCCAACAGGGCGTGTGGCTGGTGTGGGAGTACCAGGGCGATCGCACGCTGGACCAGTTCCTGCGCCACCGCTCCTACCCGCTCAACCTCGCCAAACACGTGCTCGGGGTGGACGACGCCGTGAGTCGCCCGCTGGGATTGCGTGGGGGCGATGTGACGCGTGGGGGAGTATGGGCAAGGGGGGGATGGAGAGGTGCATGAGGGCAGCAAGGCAGGGGTGGGGTGGAGGGATGCATTTGGCGGGGGTGGCAATGTTTGCTGCCTGCCTGGCTAGGTCCACCCTGTGTCCTTCTTGCACATGTGCTGCTCCCTTCACGCTGGCCTCCCTGCTTCCCTGTCTGCCTACGTGCGTGCACCTGTGTGAGAGCAGTTGTTGCGGGGCAGCAAGGGCAGCGGCTCGGAGGAGAGGGAGCAGCAGGTGTGGATGGAGTGGGAGGTGGCGCAGGAGGTCATGAGGCAGATTCTCTCCGACCTCAAGCACCTGCACTCCTGTGGTCAGTCACTCACACCACCGCCTGCCACACTGCCATTCACCGTCTCACCTGCCCCACAGCATTCGCTCTCACCACCACCGTTCCTGAGGGCACCATTGCTGTCAGAGCCACCACCGTGCCACATCTCATGGTCCCTCTCTCCCCTCCCCGCCCCTCGCCACTCTCCCTTCTTACCAGGAGTGGTGCACAGGGACGTGAAGCCGTCGAACCTGATACTGGACGAGCTCGCGGGCAGTCTGTGCCTCATCGACCTGGGCGCCTGTGTCGACCTGCGCTCCGGCCACAACTACGTGCGTCCACCCCCACCCGGCCCCCGCCCCTGCCTTGCCATGCCTTTACTTGCACGGCGCCCCAAGCCATGCCATGGCATGCGTGCCCACTGCGCTCCACCATGCGATGCACTCAATCCCCATCCCCTTGTGGCGTCTCTCTTGCCTCATGATGTGCCACCACCCCCCTCTCCCCCCCTCTTCCCCCTTCCCCCCATTCCCCCCCTCACCCCGCACCCCCTCCCCCCCCCACAACAGGTACCCAACGAGACGGTGATGGATCCCAAGTACTGTGCACCGGAGCGCTTCGTCATGCCGCCCGGCACCACGCCACCCCTGCCGCCCGACCCGCTGGCATCGCTGCTGTCGCCCTTCCTCTGGGCGCTCAATACACCCGACCGCTTTGATGTCTACTCCGCTGTGAGGCCCCTTTCTCACTCGCCCCTCACTCGCTCCCTCACTCCCTCACTCGCTCCATTGCCCTCTCCCCATTGCCTCCCTTCCCACCCCGTCCTTGCAGCCTTCCTCCCCCATATCCACATGTTGCCTGCACCCAACCACCCTTGCAACCACCACACCTTGCGCCTCTCAGCCTGGACTCGCCACCACCACCTGCCCTCCCTTCCCCTCCCATATCTCCTCACCTTTCTCTCCGCTTCATTCTCCCTTCTCCGCCGTTCCCCCCCATGATGCCCCTGCAGGGCATAGTGCTGATGCAGCTGTGCATGAAGCGACTGCGCAATGCGTCTGCTCTGGTGCGTCCCTTGTGCCTGTCATGCACCCCCCTCGCATGCCCGGGCGCCAAACGCTCATGCTGCACGGCCCACTGCCTACTCCTTTCTACCTCTTTTGCGTGCCTCTCTGCCCGCCCCGCCGTGCACTCGTCATTTCTTACCCGAACCCCATCACCTCGTCCTCTCACATTGCTCTGCTCTCTCTCTCTGCTCTGCTCCCCCTCCCTGGGAGCGCAGAAGGATTTCAACGAGGAGTTGAGGCGGTGCGACCACGATCTGGGCAAGTGGAGGGCGACGTTCAACCCCAGCGATGACGACATGGCCGTGCTTGACGCCAATGGTGCGCCCCCCATGCCGCTCATTCCCCTCTGCACTCCACACTTCACCGCCCATGAACACTTCTCGTGCTTCTTCTGGCCTCTGCACTCCCCGCCTTGCCTCCCTTTTTCTCTCAGCCCGTGGCCTGACACACCTTGCGCTCATTGCCCCCCTCCTCTCCACCATCTCTTCCCCCTCGGCCTCACCCATGACATGGCAGGGGGAGCGGCATGGCAGTTGGCGCAGCAGCTGTCGAGGAAGCGACCCAACCACGAGGAGGCCGTGTGGCCAAGTGGTGGGTGTCGGTTGCTGTGGGGGGGGAGCATGCACGCAGCCGTGTTCAATGCTCTGGCTATTCTGCATCCACTTACGTGCCTCAGTGGACTTGCATTTCTATTCATCCTCCTCATTTGCATGGGGGCCTCGCTCTCTTGCCTCTTCTCCCCCTATCTCACCCCACCCCTCATGATCTTACCTCCATTCCCTCCCCCGCCCCCTTCCCCCCCCCCCCCAGCCATGGGCGGGCGGCCCTCCGCAGCCCAGGCGCTGCGCCACGCGTTCTTCTCCATGCGCGCGCCAGAGCCCTTCCGCGCGTCACGCCTGGCAGCCGCCACACAGGCAGCGCTGTCAGGCACGGCGTATGCCACGCTGGGGCGCGGCGGGGGCGCCATGGCGCAGGCCAAGGCGCGCGCTGCCCAGGAGAAGGCGCGGGTGGCGGGGCGGGTGGAGGGGCGCAAGGGCAGGGCGGGGGAGGAGAAGGGGGAGAAGGCCAAGGCGCGGAAGGAGGCTGGGGAGAAGGGGGGGGGTGCTGGGGGAAGGGGAGGGGAGGGGATGGGCGTTGAAGGGCTTGTGATGGCGTGGGGGGGGAGGGGTAAGGGGGAGAGAGAGGATTCAGGGAGTGAAGGGAAGAGGGCCGGTGGGAAGAAGCAAGGGGGGAAGGGCGCGGAGGGATCAGGGGAGGGGAGGGTGGAGGAGGGGGTGGTGTTTGCGCTGCAGCAGATGTGGGCGGCTAGCAATGGGGGAGGGGGGAGTGGCAGTGAGAGCAGGGAGAAGGGACGAGAGGAGGGTGTGGGGTCGGATGGCAGTGGGAAGGGCGAGAGACGGGCGAGGAAGGCAGGGAAGGGGGAGGAGGGGGCGAAGGGGGAAAGGCAAGGGGCGGCAGCAGGCAAGGGGGAGGCGCAGGGGCAGGCGGGCGCACTGGGGGCATTGGGCGCGCTGGGCGCAGGGGGGGGAGGGCAGGGGGCGGAGGTGGTGCTGGAGGCGCTGAGGCGGGTGCTGGGGGAGGGGGTGGGGGCGGAGGGGGGGAAGGGGGAGCAGGGCGCAGTGGAGGGGCCGGCAGTGCGGTGGGGGGAGGGGGGCGTGCAGGGCATGGTGAGCGAGGGGCGGCGGGTAGTGAGGGAGGCGTTTACTGGCGCTGTGGTGGCGCATGCGGAGGCGTACAGTGGGGGGTCGGAGGGCAGGGCGGGGGACAAGGGCTCTGGGTCGGGCAAGGACAAAGGGTCTGACAAGGAGGGCGGGTCGGGCAGGGAGAAGGGATCAGGCAAGGATGGGAGTGGGGCGAGCAGGGAGAAGGCAGCATCGGGTAAGAGCAAAGGGGGATCAGGGAAGGGGGATGGAGGCGATGGGGGTGGGAGCAAGGGCAGTGGCAGGGGGGAGGCGAAGGAGGCAGGTGGGAAGGCGAGGAGGAAGAAGGAGGAGGGCAAGGGGGCGCGCAAGAGAGAACTTGTGGCAGCAGCAATGGGCAGCAGCGGCAGTGGCAGCAGTGGCAGCGCAGTGGAGCTACCATTCGACCTGCAGCGCTCCAAGGTGGCGGCGGCCTATGTGCTGGGGTCCGCTGCTGCCTCCCTCGCCCGCCTCTTCGTCCCCCTCCAACCCTCCCCCGCCGCCACCGCTGCCAGCGCCCGCCCTGCACCAGCGCCTGCTGCTGCAGCCCCAGCAGCATCAGTGCCAGTAGCAGTGCCAGCAGCGCTAGCAGCAGCGGCAGCGTCTAGTAAGAGAGCAGCAGCGGCAGCATCAGCATCAGCATCAGCAGCAGCATCAGTTGCAGCTTCAAATAAGAGAGCAGCAGCTGCGGCATCAGATGCAGCAGTGCCGGCAGCTGCTGCAGCAGTGGCAGATGGAGGTGCGGCGCAGCAGCAGGGGGGACAGGTGGGAGGGCAGGCAGGCGAGCGGACGAGTGCAGGCGATGCACGACAGGTGAAGGGGATGGGGGAAGGCGAGGCAGGTGGGGCAGGGGGGGGAGGGGCACTAGCACAGGCGCTGCTGCAGTGGGTGAGGGGAAGGGCAGGCGGGGGAAGTGATGCAGGCGAGGGGAACAAGGGAGCAGCAGCACAGGGCGATGGGGGGCGGGGAAGTGTCAAATCCAAGGGTGGTCGAGGAGGGGAGGGTGGTGAGAGGAGAGCGGGGAAGCGAGGGAATGGGGGGGAGAGTGGGGGTGGTGGGATCTCGGGAGTGCGAGTGAGGTGGGGCCTGCTGGGGCTGGCAGCCAAGGGCGTGGAGAGAGGCATGGAGCGGGCCAGAGGGGCAGGCAGGGGGGGCGTGGGAGGCGTGGGGGTGAATGGCAGGATGGGCGGGGTGAGACTTAAGCCCAGTGCCACTGCTGACGTGGCAGACCCCGTGACGGACAACGGCATCATCACTGACATCACTCTGGATCCCCAGGCCATTGCTGACGTCAGCCTGCTGCTGGCGCTGTGCAGTCAGGGCGACGAGGAGGAGAGAGAGAGTGGGGGGGAGAGTGGAAGCGAGGGGGGGAGTGAGAGGAGCTCTGCAGGAGTAGGGAAGCAAATGCCTTACAATAGCAGCAGCAGCAGCAGCAGCAGCAGCAGCAGCGGTGCGGTTGAAGCAGAGCAAACTGCGTCTGCCACATTAGGCGCCTCTTCAGCACAAGAGGACCTCTCCGTCCCTGCAGTCTTGGACGTATCTGCATCTGCACGCGCCCTGCCCCCCACCTCGTCCCCTCTGGACGCCGATGCGCACCCGCTGGCGGCAGCGCTGCTGGCAGAGGGCGGTGTGGGCGGTGGCGAGGGGGCGGTGGGTGTGCAGCAGGCAGAGGTGCGGGTGGGGGAAGATGGGAGTGTGCGAGTGAGTGCGAGCGTGGGGGGCGTGGAGAGCACTGTGCTGCTGCAAGCCGACAGCACTGGGGCGCTCGTCATGGCCGTGGGGGGAGGAGCCACTGCTGGCCAGGCACCCGAAAGAGCACCAGCAGCAGCGGCAGCAGCAGAGGGCGCAAAGGCGAGTGCAGTGGCAGCGGGTGGCGTGGGAGAGTCCTCTCTGTCTGCTGCCTCGCCACAGCCCCTCCCCGCCTCTGCCACTGTGGGGGAGACTGTCTCGGGGCAGGCTGTGCTGCCGCTGTGGGGGTGGCTGGGAGGACGAGAGCCAGCCAGAGAGGCACTGGCAGAGGCAGCGGCTCAGCTCGCTGCAATCAGAAGCAAGCTGCCCTCCGCCTCCGCACCTGCAACCCCCACCTCTCCACCAGAACTATCTCCCTCCACCTCTCTGCCCGCTGCTTCCCCGCCTGCACCCTCGGATTTGGCACCTACACTGGCGCCCACAGAGAATGCAGCCTTGGTTGCTGGCGGTTGTGCGGAGGAGGAGGCAAGTGGGGAGGAAGAGATGCAGAAGCAACTGTTGTCTGCTGATGATGTGCCGGCTGTGCCTGCTGTGGCTGAGCCATCAGTCACGGAAGAGAAACGTGAGGAGGCAAGTCAAGGGTTGGGAGTGGAAGGGGCGCAGAGAGAAACAGCAGAGGGAACGTTGGTGGTGAGACCGGGTGCAGGAGAGAAAGCTGGGTTTGAGAGCACAACTGTTTTCAGTGTGGATGCCAGAGTGGGGGAGAAGCTGGGGCAACAAGGGAGTAGCAATAATAACAGCAGCAGCAGCAGCAGCAGCAGCAGCAGCAGCAGCAGCAGCAGCAGCAGCGGTGGTGTGCTGCATGGGCTGCAGGAGCAGCTTTCAGTGGGCCTGTCTCCCTTCGCCAGCGCCATTCGCGCCCTCACCGGGGTGTCACTGTGGGGCGGGGGGCAGAGGGTGCAGGCTGGCATGACAGAGGCGCAGGTGAGGGAGCAGCTGGAGGAGCTGAGGCGGAAGAGGGAGGCGCGCCGGGCGGGGGCAGAGGGGCTGAACGCTGCTCTGGCGGGGCTCAACAGCCAGATGGTGGACCTGCAGGCCACACTGCAGGAGAACAAGCAAGCCGTCACGGAGCAGAAGAAGATTCTTACTCGGGTAAGAATGGTTGCTGTGAAAGGCGTGCGGTTTCTTGGTAGTGTTTGTCAGCCTGTTGTTGAAAGGAGTGCTTACATTCCACTGTTTTTGTGATGGTTGCAGATGGAAGTGCTATTGCTGGAGGCTGAAGTTATGCAGGCGCAGTACTAGCCATTTGCAAGAAGGGCTTTAGGCCTTGTAAATTTGGTGCTAGAGCATGAGAACTTGTCTGGTTTGTTGTGATGTGCACCAGCTGTCATTAAAAGTGTAATTTATGAAATCTTTGATTAAATTCTTGGTGTAGTACTTTTGCCTGACTGGAAATGGCTCCCATTGGCCCGGTGAGTCTGCCTGTCAGAACTCGCCATCTAAATTCGCCAGCCGCCTCGACTGCACTGGCGCCATCCCGCTTCGCGTGTGTCCCAGGGCGTCGCGCTTCGCCCGAAAGTTGAAACGGCAGGCCCTCCATCCGCCGTTGAGGGGGAGAAGTCGAAGTTGACGGCCAGCGGTGCTGAGATGTCGGCCCGCCATCACCTCGCCGCTCATTGCTCGCTGCCCTATGCTCGCCCAACACCATCCACGCCAAACAATAACTGCCTCCGCAGCAGGCCGTCATCCCTCATCCGTCATACTTGTTGTTCCTCGCTGCCTGAGTTTCTCGAGATTACCTCGCTTGTTCCGTCTTGGCTGGTAGATTTCTTGATTCCTCCTGCTAACTCCTGCTCAACGCTAGCAATTCGTGCCTTCGAGACTCGCTGACATCGACAAACATGGCTATCTTGGCCGTTCAACCTTCCACTCCGCACTGTCTCGTTGACAGAAAAAGCTCCTACGTAGTTTCGCAAGCTATAAGTCCCGTCGAGGATTGCGATATTCTCTCGCCCATAATTGACAGGTAAGCCCGTTATTCGTATCCTAATAAATCTCTCCTCATCCTGGAAAATTCGTCTGAGACGGTATTGTTTCCCTGGTCGCAGCATATCGTGCATCCACGAGAACAAGGAAAACCTGGAGCTCGGCAGTTTCGAGGAGCGGCTGGTGGACGCCTTTTGCCGCGGAACCCTCGACGCCGAGGTGCCGCGAGCCATCGACGACATCATCGCCCTTGCACAGCGCCTCAGCCTCTCGCACGGCGACACCCACGCTCGCGAAACGAGCCACGCGAGCGACGCTGATTCGCCAGTCTCTGTCGTCCGGCGATCGCCCCTGAACGACATCTCGTCGCTCCACAGTGACGACGACGATCAGGTAAGCCTTGGAAACCGCTCTTTGCTCTCAGTCTCCTTGCCGTGTCAGACGCCGTTCTGACACGTGACTGACTAATCAGACGATCTCCCCATTCGTCACTTGCAGGTTCAGCCAGCTCGCAAGACGAGCTCTGACAAAGGTCAACACAAAAAGAAGCACGATTCGAGAACGTCATCCTCCTCCACGGCAACCCATCTCGGCACGCAGAGGCGGCGAGGCAGCTCAGCCCCGTCGCGCGCTGCTGAGCGAGACCCCCACGTGGCCGAGCGACGCACAAGAAGCTGCGCTGCTCCGGCCTCTGCGTTTCGCTGACCGCAACTCCATGGGGCTTCCATGGTTCCCCATGGCATGGCTGCAACTGGCAGTTCCTCTCCCCGGAACTGAGGGCCTTGAGTAATGTTACGTAGATAGTAGCTCCAGCGCAAATAGGCAGCTAACTTGTTCATACCTTATCCTGCAGACTTCATTAGACAGCGTTGACACTCGTCCAGGTAGAAGTTCAAGCGACCTCAATTGATTTATTTAAACAAACACACTGTGGCTGCTACACTTTACAGATGAAATTCCAAAAGAGCCGGCCTACATGCACATCAATGACATCTCAATGGCCAGAGAGCAGTGTCAAGGATGCATGTGCTGCAACTGCTGCAGTGTGAGGAGACGCCCCTGAGGGAGGAAGGGATGGGCGTCCACAGGCATGGTGCCTCGCCCCAGATATGCCATTATCATGTCTGCAATGCCTGGAGCCTGCACAAGAAAGAGTTAATTCCACATGTTGAGCAGCTAGGGAGGTGAAGTTGTGGGGGGGGGGGTCAAAACATCTGGGGCATGAACAAGCAAACGAAGGGCACCGCCATGGCGAAATCATGGTGACATGGTGGTGTGGTGTGTCAAGCAGCACTCACCATGAGCAGGCCCGACCCCTCATGGCCCAATGCGAACAGAACACCTGGTAGCGAGTCCACAGGGCCAATCAGAGGCCTCCCATCCGGTGCTGCAGACAGACAGGCGGATGGGATAGTGAGGTGGCTGCGTGCAATCAAGGATGCACAGGACAATGATGGACTGTGAAACGAGCCTGCAAGCAGTGAGCAGGACCCACCGTATGGGCGCAGACCCGTGCGAACAACGTTCACCCGAGCAGCTATTGCCTCGTCCTCTGCTTGCTGCACCGCCTGCCTCATGTGTCGCTCACCCGCCCCCTCCCTGTCACATGGCAGCAGCAGGTGTGCGAGGGAGGGCAGGAAGAGGGCAGTGCGGCGCAGAATGGCAGCGACGGTGGGCGCATGGGGCTCCACACTGAAGCCCGCCAGCTCCCTGCTGCTGCCTGGTGGGGGGACAGGGTGTAGGGAGGGCAGCAGCCATGGAACAAGTATGAGGCGAAATGCAGAAGAGAGGTTGCTGGCATGTAAGGTGGGAGGGGGGTGGGCAAGTGATGTGTGTGAGCGGAGCAACAAGAGGGCAGGGGTTGGGGGAGTTGGGGGAGAGAATGGCGCACCGATGAGCAGGTGGCCGAGGTGGTCGCAGGTGGCAGTCATGGAGATGGCAGCGGGCGGGCAGGGCGACGAGGAGGGCGGCTGCATGGTGGCTGTGGTGGTGGGGCTGGGAGAGGGCCGTGGGGTGGCAGGCGAGGCAGTGGGAGCTGAGGGGGCGGCATAGTTGGCGGTGTAGTCAAACTCCATGAGGGCATGGCGCAGAGAGAGCGAGGGGGGCACGTCTGTGAGCTGCAACAGGAAGCCCTGTAGGTGTGGCGGGAGGTAGAGGCAGCAACAGGGACGAGAGTGGGAGGGAGGAGGTTTAAGAAGTGCAGCACGTGCGGGTGTTCAGATATTTACACAGTGCGCATATGGGCTGACAGTGGTACATCTGGCAGTGCAGCCTCGTGCCTCCCATGCAGCATTCCGTGTGTGACCAGAGCACCCATCACCTTGCGAGGGCGCACATGAGGCACCACCGGATCCTGCTCCCTGCCGCCACCCGTGCTGCTTGCTGCGCTGCTACCCGGACTACCCGAAGTGCCCTCCTTGGGACTATCCTCAGGCTGAGAGGCTTGCGAGGTGGTGGCGAAGGCAGGGGCGGTGTGGAGCAGGGCGTGGGCAATGAAGCCCGACGACCACGTGCCCGTCGCCACCACCACCGCCTGCGCTGCCACCACCCTGCGCTGCGCCGTCGCCACTCCCACCACCCTGCCGCCTCCTGCCGCCCTGCACACTCCCATGGGGGGTGATTGCACCCAAGCACATGCATTGGCACACGTACACATGCATTTGGACACGTGCATGCACACACAGTCACACACAGGCGCACACACCAAGCCACACACACACATACACCACATGCAAACACATGCTTGCAAATGATGATACAGAAGCAAAGCTCGCTGCGCGCGCCAAGCATGCCTGGGAGTGGAGCTTCAGCAGCAGAGGGGTTGGGGGGTGAGCAGCAGGGGGCAGCAGGGGGCAGCAGGGGGCAGCAGGGGGCAGCAGGGGGCAGCAGGGGGCAGCAGGGGGCAGCAGGGGGCAGCAGGGGGCAGCAGGGGGCAGCAGGGGGCAGCAGGGGGCAGCAGGGGGCAGCAGGGGGCAGCAGGGGGCAGCAGGGGGCAGCAGGGGGCAGCAGGGGGCAGCAGGGGGCAGCAGGGGGCAGCAGGGGGCAGTGGGTGCTGACCGGAGGAAGGAGGCGACGCTCTCCTCAAACAGCTCCACGTAGCGCCCCGATGCGGCATGCTGGCGACAGCGCTGGGCGTGGTAGACATGCAGGGCACAGCACAGGAGGAAAGGGAGCGGATGGATGGAAAACAGGAGGATAGAACGAAGAGCATGGGAGTGCTGAGGGGGGGAAGAAGAGCATTGAAGTGCTGCGGTGGATGGTATTCTGAGTGCCTGCAGGAGAGTGCGTGCCATGCCATGGCATGGAATAATGTCATTCAATGCTATACACTGCAGCACGTACAGCGAGCAGGGCGTGCATGGCGAGGCGGGCATCGAGCTGCCAGTCGGAGGGCAGCAGCAGCGCGGACGAGCACCCAGCCGGCACCTGCAGCGCCGGCTCCACGTCCCTCAGGGCGGCAGCGGACAGCAGGTGCGCGGTCAGCCCCGCCTGCTGCAGCGCTCGGTGGTGCTGCTCCAGTGGGGCTGTGTGGGACGGCTGTGACGGCACCAACATGCTGCCTGGCGGAGCATGGGGCGAGGAGGGGGAGGCAGAGAGAAGCGGGGATGCAGCGAGAGGCGGGGAGGAGGGGAAGATCGGGGAGAGAGAAGAAGATGGTGAGGGGGGAAAGGTTGGAGCGGGGTGGCGTGGTGGATATTGCCATCCTGCCTCACCTCACGTGCTCCTCTCCTCTCCCATGTGCCCAACCCATGGTGTGCTCCCTCAGCCCTTGCCTGTGTTGATGCGTCCCAGCCCCTGCGTGCAGCCTGTGAGGCGCCGGTGGTCCGCCTCCAGCCCGCCCGCCATCTCCTCCCACCGCCGCTTGCTGTGCTCCGCTAGCTGCCATGTCATGCCGCCTGGGGAACGATGCGCCATCCATATGTAGCCCTGCCCTGCCAGCATGGCAGCATGCAACCATGGTAACATGCCATCACGCCAGAGAGACAATGCAGCGTCAAGTCAAGGTCTCAGCTTGTTGTTTCGCACACCATGCAAGGGCAGCATGCCGCATGCTGTGTCGCCGTTTCAGCGAGATTCTACAAACCCACTTCCTCACTGCTCACCCGCACTGTCGCCTTGCCGTTCCTCACTTCCTCATGTCTCACATCGTTTCATCATCTCATCACTACCTGCTGTGCTGTACCACCATCTGTCCCTGCTGCCCTCGCCCCTGCGCCTCTCCTCTGTGCCTCTCCCCTGCACCTCTCCCCTGCGCCTCTCATCCGTGCATCTCACCTGCGCCTGTAGCCCCGGCACAGGGCCAAGCACTATCAATCACCGCAACTCTGGTGTCGGGTGATGACATCAGCAGTGCGTCAGCAATGCACAGCCCCACCACGCCAGCACCCACTATGACCACGTCAGCCTCCACATCCCCCGTCACTGCCTCCGCGCTCCCCCGCCCCCACTCCTCCTCTCCGCCCCGCGCCCCTCCCCCCGGCACCGCGTTCTCCCATGGAAACGACGCCAGCCCAGCCGCTTCCGCCGCAGAGCGGCACGCCGTGGGTCGGCGGACGGCGCGAGGCGGGGCGGCCGGCGATGTGGCTGGGGGGAGCGCTGTGCGGAGGGCGGCAGGCGCTGTGGTGAGCGCAGCGGTTCGGTGTAGAGGAGGCCGCGGAGAGCGCGGATGGAGAGGTGGAGAGTGCTCAGACGCCGAGCGGCGGCAGGGAAGGGGGTGCCGCGAGACACGCAGAGGTAGCGCCATGGCGGCGAAGGAGGAAAAGAGTACGGGGCGGTCGTAAGGCGGCGCGACAGCGAGATGGTGGGATGGTAAGTTTGTGAAATGTCGTATTGGGGGAGTTGGGATTTGGAATGTGGCTGACAGGGGAATTTGGCTGGGCCCGATCTGCGTTTGGTGAAACATTCCCGTTATGAATTATTTTTGTGTGTAATACCATTGTGGCATCTAGCTACACCACCGAAACATCAAATCGACTCTTTTTGCGAAATGGAAGACAAACGCCAATCACGAGAGGCACGAGCTGAAGCGCGGAGCATCAAAGGCAACAACCAGGCGCTGCACCAGCCAGCCAACCCCAAGGGAATACTGCGAATCCCAAGGCTCGAATATTCGCATTTCGTCGTCATCCTCATCCCAGGCACCTCCATGGCTTCCCTTCGCCCGCACCCCCTCGTTCGTCCCGCGCCACCCACACACCAAAGCGTCACCCCGCCCGCGACTCTCCATTTAACGCCTGTACTCGCCCCAACGCTCTCCTCGCGCCCCGCATTCTGCCATTTGCCGCTCAGATTACACGCCCGCCCTATCTTCAGCACTCGCACCGCGCGCCAATCCCCGGCCGTCCCTTCCGCTTCCGCCATGCCTGCGCCACCCGCCCCGGTTCCCGAGCACCTCGTGCAGTTCGCGCACCGCCTGGCGGACGCCGCGCGCGAGGTCGTTCCGCCGTTCTTCCGCCAGCCAATCGGCATCGAGCTGAAGGCGGACGAGAGCCCTGTGACGGCGGCGGATCGCGCGGCGGAGGCGGCGATAACGGCGCTGATCCGCGCGGAGTACCCCGCGCACGGCATCCTGGGCGAGGAGCAGGGGCTGCAGGGGCCCGTGCGGGCGGGAGACGCTGGGGAGGGCGCAGCGGGGGGAGAGGGCGAGGGCGGGTGGGAGAGCGAGTGCGAGTGGGTGTGGGTGATCGATCCGATCGACGGCACGGCGAGCTTCATCACGGGCAAGCCGCTCTTCGGCACGCTCGTCGCGCTGCTGCACCGCGGCCGCCCCGTGCTGGGCGTGCTCGAGCAGCCCGTGCTGCGCGAGCGATGGGTCGGCGTTGCTGGCCGCCCCACCACCTTCAACGGCGTCCCGGTCGCCACGCGCCGCTGCGCCGATCTGCGCGACGCGTACGTGTACACCACGTCGCCGGACCTCTTCCCCGGCGCCAGCGGCGAGGCGTTCCGCGCGGTGAAGAGCGGTGCGCGCAAGGCGAACTACGGGTGCGACTGGTACGCGTTCGGGCTGCTGTCGAGCGGGTTCGTGGACGTGGCGCTGGAGTTCGGCGTCAAGCCCTGGGACTACCTCGCTCTCGTCCCCATTGTGGCGGGCGCGGGCGGGCGCATGACCGACTGGCGCGGGCGCGAGCTGCGGCTGGCGTCGCTGCGCGCGGAGGACTGGGTGGGCGACGTGGTGGCGACGGGCGACGCGCAGCTGCATGCGACGGTGCTGGCGACGCTGGCTTGGGAGCAGCGCGGCAAGGGCGAGTGACTGGCGCGCAGTGCTGGGAGCGGACGGGGGAAAGGGCGAGGAGGCTGCGAAGGAAGGGGGAAGGCGGGGATGACGAGAGGGCGAAGGGGTGGGAGTGAGGGGTGACGACAAGACGCATTGTGCGAGGGGGTGGGAAAGCAGAGCAGCTGTGAGAGGCAGATGGTGAGGTCCACGCAGGAGCACAAACAGTGGGCTGGCTGACGTTGCTTGCTTCATGGGTGCTGGCCCCCTCATGCCTCCACAACACACTCATCCTCCACACACATAGCTCCTCCACACACTGCTGCTCCACCGCCTAACAGAGGCAGCAAGCCAAGGGAGCAGCAGTCATGGCAGCATGGCCAGCTTGCATGTCATTGTGATCCACATTCATCCTAATGTACTCCGCTCAAATAAAAGCGTTGCCAACATCACCGTTCGGCCGTGTATGCAGACTTCATCACAATCTATGAGAGTGTAGCGCATCTGCTGTGTTACTGACCTCAAGTAGTCAAGCTTGCAGTTTTTCTTACTGCAGCCTTGGTTTCTCTTCATGTAAGCTGCACGTGGTGCGGTTACGGTATGTGCTTAAGCATGACCTGATATGCCAGTCCTGGTAGTGTTCCTGCACCAGTGCCACCTCACTTGCCCTGTGCTGCCACTGACTGCCGTACTGCTGCCGCTGGCCGCCTGCATGGGATGGCCTCTTCATCTTACACAAACCCTCAACATGGGGCCCAAGCTGTTCTATTCTGATTTGTGCTCCATGATCCCAGTCTGTAGCCAAGTAAGCACCTCACAGTAAGCTGATCATTTTCTACCATGCTGTGCAATTCGAGTTAGCATTATGCTATATCAACTGAAGTGATCAGATGATCAGATGTATGATAGATTCTTTTCAGCTGTCCATAAATTTGCTAAATGTACCCTGTTTCACCATGTTATGTTACCTACAAGAACAATTTTGTGATTCCCGAAGGCGGGGCGCTGATATCGGAGCACAGTACCTAGAACCTCCCGCAGATCGTCTCGCCAGTCCCTTTCAAAACTGTCCCGCAACGGCCTCCGCCATGCAGCCCCGCGCTCTCCTCCCCCATTCCCCGCGCCCTTCCGCCTTTTCCCCGCTCACCCATCCCCTGCTCACCCGCGTTTCCGCCGCTCCCCGCCGCATCTCGCCTCGCGCCCAGCAATCAGGCCCTTCCGACACTCCGCGCGCCGATGCGCCCGCGCCTGCGCAGGCCACGATGGCGGACGGCACGGAATTTGTGCGCGCGCATCTGCTCCGGCTGAAGGCCTACACCCCCATCGTGCCGTTCGAGGTGCGCCCATCCGCCCTTCCAGGTGCGCCCATCCGCCCTACCAGGTGCGCCCATCCGCCCTTCCAGGTGCGCCGCGCCGCCACGCCGCGGCTCTGGTCATGGCGTGCCGTCACCAGAAACTCCCCCGTGGTCGAAAAGGCGTGGCGTGGCGTGGCATCGCCACTGATCAACCCCATCTTCCGCCTGCGCCCTGCATTGCATTGCGTTGCCCGCCGTGCCTACCCCACTCCACACCCTCAATCCCATCACGCCTCTCCGCATCGCTCACCCCTCTCCCTCCCTTCCTTCCCCGCCCCTCTCACTGCACTGGTGCGCCTGGGCGGGCGGGGGACTGCGCGCGCTTGGATTGGGGGGAGGGGGGGGTTGGCGGAGCAGGTGCTGTCGGCGCAGCTGGGGCGCGCGCCCGAGGACATCGTGAAGCTGGACGCCAACGAGAACCCCTACGGCCCGCCTCCTGAGGTATGCGCTGCCGCCCTGTGGTGGGGGGGGAGAGTGCATGGGAGAGGGGGGAATGCAGGGGGAAGGAGGGAGTGCAGGGAGCAGGGGGGGGTGCAAGGGGCAGGGGGGAGTGCAGGGGCGGGGGAAATGCAGGGTGCGGTAAGCAGTGAGCGTGGTGATGGGGATGTGGCGAGGCCAGGGTGCATGCATGTGCATGGGTGTGCTCTTCGACTTCCCATGCCTGCCATGCCTGCTTGTGGTAAGGCAACCTCCCACTTGGTATGAACGCATGTGTGTGTGTGTGCGTGTGTGTGTGTGTGTGTGCGTGTGTGTGTGTGTGTGCGTGTGTGTGTGTGTGTGCGTGTGTGTGTGTGTGTGTGTATGTGTTGCCATGGGTGCATGGGTGCATGGGTGCACGGGTGCATGGGTGCACGGGTGCATGGGTGCATGGGTGCATGGGTGCACGGGTGCATGGGTGCATGGGTGCATGGGTGCGTGCGTGCATGGGTGCATGGGAGCATGGGTGCGTGCGTGCATGGGAGAGCAGGTGAGGGAGGCGCTGGGGTCGCTATCATTCCCGCACGTGTATCCGGATCCGGAGAGCCGCCAGCTGAGGGCAGCGCTGGCGCAGGAGTGTTGCGTGCCCATGGAGCACCTGCTCGTGGGCTGTGGGGCGGACGAGCTCATCGACCTCATCATGCGGTACGAGCTCATCGACCTCATCATGCGGTAGCCCTGTCCCCCCTCACCCCTTCCCTCCCCGCCCCTGTCCTTCCCCTTCCCCCTCGTCTCTTCTCCCTCCTGCCCCTGCCCTTCTCTCCCCTTCCCCCCCTCCCCTTTCCCACGAGTGCATTGTTACTGGTCACGCATTTCGGGCTAAGATCGTACCATGTGCACCCCTGGCCCGCCTTCCCCTGCGCCTCTTTCCTTCCTTCCTCCCCGTGTGTTGTGTTGGTGTATGCTCGCTTGTGCTGTGACTGGATGGCGGGCGGGCAGGTGTGTGTTGGAGCCGGGGGAGGCGATAGTGGACTGCCCGCCCACCTTCACCATGTATGCCTTTGACGCCCATGTCAACAACGCACGCGTCATCATGGGTAAGCCGAACCTGCTCCACCTCAAGGGGGCACCTCAGGTGGGCACAGCAGGTCGTTCCATGAATGCCTTGCCGCACATCCACTTTTGTTTCCTCCTCTCGCTGCTCCTCCCCTTGCATCAACTCGTCTGCTCCATCTCCCCTACCCCACGCCCCTCTATGCCCAACCCCCCCCTGTGCTCTCAGTGCCACGGCGCAGCGACTTCTCAATCGACGTGGCGGGCGTGACAGCAGCGGTGGAGGCGCACCGCCCCAAGCTGCTCTTCCTCACCTCGCCCAACAACCCCGACGGCAGGTGCGTGCCCAACAACCCCGACGGCAGGTGCGTGCTCTCTCCGTACTCGGTACACAGATGGGCTGTTGTCCCCATACTGTCCCGTCTTTCCCCCTTCCTCACTTCCCACATCACACACTCGCACGAACAGACATGTGTGCAACCCTTCCCGTCTTATCTCTCGCTTCCCTCCCCCCGTCTCTCTCCCCCCCACGTGCGCAGCATGTTGAGCGAGGAGGACCTGCAGCAGCTGCTGCGCCTACCGGTGCTGGTGGTGTTGGACGAGGCGTACATCGAGTTCAGCGACCGCCCCTCCGCCATGCCGCTCGTGCAGCGCCACGCCAACCTCATTGTGCTCCGCACCTTCAGCAAGCGCGCCGGTCAGCACCCC